GTGCTTTAACCCGCTGTGCCACCAGGGAGGGTCGAGGTGACCATAGTTTTAAAGAAAATAGAGACTCATTGCCCGGATCCACTGGGAAAATCTGCTCATCCATTCAAGAAAACACTGTATACCTATCACTTAAATGCCAGTCTGCTAAGCTCTAGAGTGCCTCAATTCCTTCTGCTACACCTCCACTCCCCCCGCCCCAAAAAGTCACTGGGCAGAGCATTGAAATCTTGAGCATGGTACTTGAGTTCTCAGAGATTTAGCTTTATCAGTGGACACAGTTTTTCACCAATGATGTAAAACAGTGGGGTTATAGGACCAGCAGCATCACCTAGGAACTTGCTAGAAACACAAAATCTCAGGCTCCACCCCAGACCTGTAACTCAGCAAAAGCAGAGGCAGTGATTGTGTCTTTAAACACCTTCCAGTGATTCCCAAGTTTAAGAAATACTGAAAATCAATCTCACAGCCCAACACCTGGCAGATACTAAGTGTTAAATAAATGGTAGCTCTTAAATTGTCTTGTGGAGGAATTGTATGTAAGTCAATGCTATAACTAGTCAAGTAAGGCATGAGATTCTATTTGTCCTCTAGTCTGAGTTTTATAGACTGGTAATCTATAGAGGATCTTAAAGATGATCTAGATTTAGTTCAAAGGTTTCAAAGTATCATTATTATTTTATTTTTAAAATAATATAATAGTTCATTTTTACATCATTTTTTGCCTTTTTCCATCAGAGTTGTAATTCCTGTGGGCTTCCCATCACCAAATCACCTGTGTGCCATCACCACAGTCACTATTATTTTAAATCTAGGAACTCTTCGAATACAAAAGAACATGAAACTGTCTAATATGCCTCCCTGTCTTTCTTCCCTCCCTCATCCCTTCCTCCCTCTCTTCTCATCATTTTCTTTCTTTGTTCCTTTCTAATTTGTCTTTATATATATGAAATAGTTTGGTACAGTCAGAGGAATGGTCAAAGCAAATAAATAAGTTTAAATTTAGAAACTGAAGCAAATACAGAAGGGAAATTTAAATTATAAACAGAGGTATTTTAAACCTATGAGGAAAAGAAGGATTTTTCAATAAAATGACTCTGAGACAAATGGCTACCTACGAAAGAAACAGAGGTGAACTCCCACATGACTTTATATAGTAAAACAGAATTCAGTAGGCTCAAAGATTTACAAAGAGTTGACAAAACCACAAAGGTAATAGAAACGTGATTTTTTTTTATAATCTTGGACTAGGAAAGTCTTTTCTATGCATAACAGACCATACAGAATCCATAATATTAAAAATTGATAAATTTAACTTCTGAAAAATGCTAATATTTTATCAGTATGTGTAAGCCAGTAACATGTTCAAAAGATGGGCCTCCCTGGTGGTACACAGGGTTAAGTCTCAGTACTATGAAGCTCTCCGCAGCCACTGTAGCAGGAGTTCCATCCCCAGCCAGGGAGCTGACCCACATGGTGAGGCAGACCTCTCCACTCTTGCCTACTGGTCCCCTCAGCAGTGTATTTCAGTCAATCCACCTGTCCTGTGCCTTGCTCTGTCTCTAGTGAATCCTGTCACCCCCACACCTCTAGCCTCCACCTCAGCTCCTGTATGCATAAATAAATAAAATACATCTTTAAAAAAATGTTCAAAAGACAAATGAGAAAAGATTTGCTCCAGACATTGCTCTAGACACCACAGATCTAGCACTGAACCAACAGACAACGCTTCCTAACTTTATGGATCATAATATTTTAGTGGGGACATAAGATGAGTGGCCCAGTTGGCTCTGACGATGTACATGCAGAGGCAACAATCCTGGAGGTGACAGGGGAAGATAAGCAGCATAATGTAATCTCTTAGCTTGTAAATATGCTAGCCATGATGGTGGTGTGGGCATAAATAACTGGCAATGGAAACACTAACTGCCAAAAGAAATGGTCACCTCCAGAGAAATCAGCCCCTCTGTCCCTCAAATCCGTAATTTTTATGCATCATTCATGCAAGCCATACTGCAAACGGCCCTACAATGCACTCATTTGTCTACCCGGTTATCTCTTTCCCAAGTAAGCTTTCAGCCCCTGGGCTGTACCTACTTTTGCCTCCACCATCGTTCCCTGCAGAGTATCTTCTGTACAATAAACTCAATGAGAATTTTCTGTACAATAAACTCAATGAGAATTAAACTGAACACTGATCACACACAGCATTGGGCACACACATACTATTAAACAATCTCTCAAAAGTTAAGTGAAGTGAAAATGCAGGCAAGTCAACAGGAAGAAAAGCGGGAAAAGAAAGGAAGGGAGGCAGGGGGAGATTCGAGGGAGAAAGGGAGAGAAGAGCAGAGAGAGGAAGGGAGGGAAGAAGGAAGAGGAACTTCTTTAATACCTTTCTTCTTTGGTAAGACGGGCCAGTTTTCTGGCTTTGTTGGCAAGGATAAATCTAAAACATACAAAGAAGAAGAAAGGAGGGAATTAATGGCTGCTTCCATCTGGCTTTATTCCTATCATCACACAATTGTCCAGAGCACAGGTTTAAAGTTAAGGAAAAGAACACAATATGCTCTAGCTCAGTTTAAACCCTGTTCACATATGACATTCCTGACCCTCAAGATTTTAGGCAATCGGAACATAAGAAAGGCTGCAATTTCTGCCTCAGGCAATAGCATGACTGACCCTCTTCCCTGCCCATGGTGGTGGCCAATAAGAATGAACTCTTTCTTCAGAATGCTCGTGTAAGGCCTGAGCCTTTCCAATTTCATCTGGTTCTTGCTCTTTGGTTTTATCTCAACTATGGAGTCTTTCAGGGTTCAGTCTTCCAGCATCTGCTTCTATTACTAGCTCTATGATCCTTGAACTTAACACATGGCCTGAGTTGTCTGTGTGGGCCCTTGGCTCTTTCTGCGATAAACTTACATGTATCCTGGGGGGCCATCTCAATTTTGGCTACTGCAGGTAGCCACTCTGGGCCAAGTTCTTACAGCCCAAACACCCCCTTCCCATGCTAGTATTTCCTAGAGAGTTGAGAAGAGGCTGGAACAGTTGCTCTCCGCATCCCACATAAGTAGCATAGATGCTCAGTCTCCACACAAAGAACTCTTAATCACGTCTTCATATCATGCTTTCACAAAAGACAGTGTACCAAAGATATATCTACCCCCGGCGCTAAATATAAAACAAAATTAAAATATAACAAATTTTGAACTATTATTGATATTCTCTTCAAAATATTTACTTATTGAGAGAATGAATTTTTACTGGATTAAATCACTTAACCAAGTTTGGGGCACCTTTATTCATGATATGGGGATACCCCTGTCAACACTGCATACATCTGTACCCCTGTGACTGTGCCTTACCCAATTATAGCAGGATAGCTGCCATCTGGTTTGGTATCATCCAAAGTATAGGCAATTGGAGCTTCCTCTCCTTCGATTATCATGGACCCACAGTAATCTGGGAGAAGAGCAAAACAGACGTTATTCATCATCCTATCAGACTACCGATAGCAGTTATGAAGAAGCACACATTTTTCAACTAGAGAAGCTTGAAGGCAACACAAAAGATATTTCACTCCCAGTGTGTGAAGGCAAACTAAACTGATGTTAAAAGGAAGGCTAAAAACTCAACATTTTGAGTAAGAATAAGATTGTTGATACCCTCTCTGCAAAAAAGCAAGTGATATGAAATAATGAACTAATCACTTAATGGTTTTGTTTTACTTGCCATCAATAACTCTGTCCCCTATTTCCTCTTTCATGGAAGATCACATAAAAGCAAAGATGTACAAAAGAAATACTCATCCATTACTGTGAAATAGAAGAAGCTGAGTGTTCTGTTCACATTTTATGGGGAGTGGCGTTTCCATAACGTGTTGTTAACACGTTAGCCTCACACATTCAGGAGGAGCCCTTATTCTCTGTTCTCTAGTTCTTGGTTGTCTGGACACGGGGCAAAGAGCAAAGAGCACATGGATAACTAAAGAGCACATGGATAACTAAAATCCACAGACTCCGAAATCATTAGGTCAAACAGGCCATCCAAAGCAACCTGGAAAACAATTTCAGCTCATTCTGGACAGAAGGGCTTTCATTCTGCCCCCTGAACCAAATATATGCAATTTCAACAAAAGCCTGCTGCAGAGCAGTGGTGCAAATGTCAGGGCCATTTCTGAAATGTTATAATAATATCCTACTGAAGTGTATCACTCTTTCTGCACCATCATTTCCTTGCAAATCTGAGGTGGGTTTAACAAAGTGATGGTGGAAGACTCTGGAACAAGTGGCTAGAAAAGCCAGCAAGACGGTTTCATAATGAGAAAGAAGGAACAGAGAAAGTTGGCTGAGGCTAAGCAACATCCCAATCTGTGTGTGAGCAGACACACCTGTAGGCCTTCTTATCTGCATTCTTTCTCCTCCCACACCCCTCTCCAGTGTGGCAAATGATATTTTACTCTCAGCGTGTGAAGGCAAACCAAACTGAAGGCTAAAAAACTTAAAAGGGAGGCTAAAAACTGAACATTTTGAGTAAGAATAAGATTGTAATTCCCTCTCTGCAAAGAAGCAGGCAATATGAAATTAGGAACTAATCCAGGTTACCACTTAATGGTTTTGTTTTACTTGCCAGCAATAACTGTATCCCCTATTTCCTCTTTCGTGGAAGATCACATAAAAGCAAAGATGTACCAAAGAAATACTCATCCATTACTGTGAAATAGAAGGAGCTGAGGGTTCTGTTAACATTTTATGGGGAGTGGCGTTTCCATAACGTGTTGTTAACACGTTAGCCTCACACACTCAGGAGGAGCCCTTATTCTCTGAGAACCAATGTCCCAGTCAGCCACTGGATTAAGAGTGTGTTGGGGCAAGAAAAATATTGAGAAAAGCTGAATTATGGGAAGAAATGTTTAAAAGCTATCCAACCACTCAGGAAAATTTAAGAGAAATGGCTAAGGAATCACCCGTTTGAAGACCAAGAAAGGACACAAATGAGACCAAGGCCATCTACAGGGAAGCAGATACCACAAGAGTAAATTGTAGTATCTGCTTCTAGCATTGTGTTGTGGTATCTGCTACCTAGCATTGTGTTGGCAGATACAGTCTGCGGTCACTAGCTGCTGTGACTTGTACATTGGAGTTTAAAGCAATCAAATGAAATCAAATGGAAACAACTGGTCCTCAGTCTCACCAGCTTCATTTGAAGTATTTTGAGTTGTGGCTGCTGCACTGGATGAGGCAGCTCTAGAATGTTTCCCTCAATGTAGAATCTAGCACGTTAGTTAATAAATTAGTGAGCATCCTCATTATGTTCCACCCGACTTAGTGGCTCACTTATGGCATATGCAAGGTCCACCTTTGCAAGTGACTCTAAATCAGAATTATCAAAACTTTTAGAAATTGTTAATATTTGGAAGCCTCCCTGGTGGCGTAGGGGTTAAGTCTCAGCACTATCAAGTGATCACCACTGCGGCACGAGTTCTATCCCCGGCCAGGGAGGTAACCCACACAGCAGACCTCTCCTGTCTTGCTCACTGCTCCCCTCAGCAGTGGATTTCAGTTGCTCTCCCTGTTCTGCTCCCCACTCTTTCTCTGCTGGATCCTCTAACCCCTCCCTTACCTCTGGGTTTTTCTACACCCCAGTTCTTCTACACAAAAAGGAAGAAATCTTCCTTAAAAAGGTGATTGTTTAATAGTCTATTTTCATGAGATTTTGTGGGAGGATTAAATAAACTATTTTTTAAAAAGATTTATTTATTTATTCATATAGAGCTGGGGCACAGGCCAGAGATGTGGAGGGTGAGAGGATTCACCAGAGACAGGGAGGGGAGCAGAACAGGCAGATCGACGAAGTACACTGCTGAGGGGAGCAGCAGGCGGGTCAGGAGAGGTCTGCCTCGCCATGTGGATCTCCTTCCTCCGGGGCAGGCGGGAATCGAACTCACGCGGAAGTGGCTTAAACTTCTTAGTGCTGTGCTTTAACCTGCTGTGCCACCAGGGAGGGCCCTAAATAAACTATTTTGGCTTCTAAAGAGTTGGTCATTTTCTAAGATACATTACTTCTGTGAGTTTGTGCCAATGTATTTCATTTGACAGATTTATACTTAGAACCTGGGTTAATATTTTATGTCTCATAAAAACAGTATATGCACATGAGTATCTTTGTATCAAGCTTCTTGGACCTTCCCTGGAAAGTCTTTCTACAAGGAAAATGCTCACCCTTTTTCCGCCAGAAGGCCTCTTGGTAATAAACCATACACTTGATGACTGAACCCAAAGGCACACGAGCAATCAGCTGGTTTCTCATCATTGGCAGAGAAGGGCTGAAGTGAATCTTCAGGCTCAGAGAAGGCGGAATAGCACTAATTACGTACTTAGCCTGGAAGAAAAATGACCTGGTTAAATGTTCTTACTGGTTGCTTTTGCTATTCCCCGAATGCTTCTTCTTCATTTTATATTTATCCCACTTTTTGTTCCCTTCAGAGAGAAGTTGGAAGGATCTTGTTAAAACCAAAATGAACATTTATTATCCCCTAGTAGAAAACTCCTAAGATTTCCTATCACACTTAGAATCATAGTCAATTTCTTTACAGCCAGCTCCGAGGCCATACATGAAACGGAGCCCTGTTATGTCTCTGATCGCCCCTCCTGTTACTCTTCCCATCGTTCCTCTTCTCCCTGCCATTTTGATACCAGGCACATAGGAAGCACTTGTTGTTTATCAAATATTTTTCTGTCTTTCTTTTCTTTTCTTTTTTTTGATTTTCTAATTGCATAAGAACCCAGCACAGAGGGCTGATAATATATGCTTTTCTAAATCTTCCCCTGCCTCCAAATATCCTGGTTTTCTTTCCCTTTCTTTCAAATCGAGGTAGTGCTTTGGCAAAGAAATTGTCTATCAAGTCTGGTCTATTCTTAGTTTTATTTAATCTTTGTTTACTATGGGATTCTACTGCTCATGGTTACCTCATATATCTCACGGTTCAGGGTCTCCACAAGGACATTTTCTCGTGTCTGGTCAATATGGGTCACAGGCCTCTCCAGCTTCACTCGGTCCCCCAGGAGATCCATTATCCGCTCGCTCACTTGACTAGATCCACCCACAAATTTTCTTTCCTGGAAAAAAAAAAAGGACTTAAGACATGGGTGGAAAATATAGGAGTGGCTGTAAATTACTAAGTTGCTAGTTTCCCTGTCTATTTTTATGTGAAATATAAATACAATTTTGCTTTTCTATTATAAGTGGTGCCTTTCCCCATTGTTTGCTAGCTTCTGACAAAATCAACATTTTCTAACCGTCATCTGGCAGATTGTGCACTTGCAAATTCCCAGGCTCCAACCTCAGTTAGTCATCGTCAGCCCAGCCTCCACACCTCACCTACTGGGTCACATCCTCTGATCTGTGGTCTACCTGCAGCCTTTTGTTGGGGGCTGGGTCTAGTGATGCTCATCCTAGAGCTGGACCACCGCTTGCCTGTTTTCTCTTCCCTTGTCGCTGAGGCTCAGAACACCACTGACCAACCCCCAATTAGCCTATCCCCTGACTAGATTACCTACTCATCCTGAGTCAGGTGCCTGCTCATTTCACTGGACTCCCCTCTCCTGCCCTGAGTGCTGCCTCCAAATGTTTTACATGTTGTGCACATGGATGAGCACCTACAACTGCAGATTAGTTAACTTTTGAAAAGACTATGTCAAAAAAGCCAGGAAAGAAGGAAGAAGAGAAGAAGAGGAGGAGAAAAGGGGAAATGAGAAGGAATGGGGAGGAAGCAGAAGGGGATGAAAGGAAAATGACTACGAAGCAGATTATCTGAGACTCTAATCCACTTCCTACTGTGCCTAACACCTTGCCTTATATAACACTGGCGCTCAGGAAACAGGGAATGAATGAATGAGTGACTTCTACATGGAGAGTGCTTTTAAAATTGAAAATGCCAGGGGTGATTTGGTGATGGGAAACCCGTGGGGATTACAATTGAGATGAAAAAAAAAATGTGAAAAATGATGTAAAAATAAACTTTAAAAAAAAAAATTGAAAATGCATTCCTGACATTCCTTTTTGAGCTTTCTAAGACATGCTCAAGCTATAATTATTAGATGTTCTCCTATGAACTTGTTAAATAATTAACAGAAATCTATCCAAGATGAAAATTGCAAAAGTACATAGAAACCTGCCTAAACTTAAAATTACATTGGCCCCTGTGTTCTCACAATGGATATCTAAAAACAGATTGTTTGTTACAAAGCATTACTTTGCGCGGCCATGATAAAGCTCTAAAGGTCACAAATATCTTCTGCTTCATCCTTTCCCTAAAATATGGTGGCAATCTTTCATTTAGGTGGTGGTAGTATTTTGCATCAGTGGTGGGGGAATGGATGGGTACCTGGCCTCCGTTGGTTGTGGAGATGATCCTGGTTGTGCCCCCACACTGCTTCACATACCACAGGAACCAGAGAGCAGAGACCTCATGGGTCTCTGCAGTGACACAGAGGTTCACAAAGAGAGTGGCTAACTGCTTTGCAGATCTGCTCAGGGAGAAACAAGAGCAAAATTGGCAATCAGGAAAGTATCTTCTTCATTTTCTGGAAACTGTTGAAGCAATAAATTTACTCATTTCAGTTTAGCAAAATTTGGCAAGTGGCAAAAAAAAAAAAAGACAAAAAAAAAAAAAAAAACCCTGTCACTGCATCCAATATTGTAAAATGTTCCATCAATGATTTTTGATAAAAACTAAAATATCTTATTCAGAATCAGCTTGCATTCCATATTCTGTGCTGTCATGGGTTCTTTCCACACACCTGCTGCTTTTCCAGTGATCCCCATCTCGGTTAGAGGCATCACCACTCGCCCATTGCTAGAGCTAACACTCTAGAAATCAACTTTAATTCTTTCCATCACTCTCCCTCCAGCCAGTTCACAAGAAAGTCCTGTTTTCCCTCATCATAATTTCCTGACCTCCATCAGCAATAATTTAGCATCATCTCTTAATAGAAATATTGAAATTATGTCTTCCAGACTCGTCTCTCTGCCTCTACTCATCCTCCCAGTGTATCTATTCATCACATTCAGAGCCAGAGCTTTATACCTCCCTCCCCAGCATGCTGCTCTTTCTGAAATATAAATCAAGTCATTCCCTGCTTAACATTCTCCAATGGCATCATATTTTAACCAGAATAAGATTTAGATCTTATTCCATTATGGCCTCCAAATTCCTACACGATCGAGTCCATGCCTACCTTTGCTGTCCAAACCGTCCCTTCCTCTATTTATCCTATTGTCTCCTCAGAAAGATACAGTTTTATATGTCTATGGAATTTTTCACCAGCTCCCACATTCCATAAGGCACCTGGAATTTTCTAGCATTTACTGTAGCATAGGATCTTTAGAATTCTTTTTGTTGTTTAATACTTATCCTGACTATTGATTTGTTATTTGTGTTGATACCTCCCCCATTAGATTACCAACCACGGAGAACATGGGCCTTAGTTTACCTGTTAACAGCAGTGCCTTCTTAACAAAATAGTGTCTGACACACAGTAATCACCCAATAATTATTTGTTAGCTGGCTGAATCAATGACTGGTTGATGAGAAATATCAATTCAACATTTTAAGTTATCCATAATGTATGTACATTATCCATAATATGCTAGGTGCTGTAACAAGAACAGAATTAGTCACAGTTACCTATTCAATTGTTTTACTGCCTAATGGAAGATTAACTTAAAGGATGATTGAGAGGGGAGTGATTAATACAGCTTAGATAAGTGAACATTTATTGGGGCCAGTAGGTAAATGGAGAGATTCTATATCTTATCTGGAGGTGCACCAGAAAAGAGAATGATCTTTCATGCAAGTCCAACACCTCAATTATATCTAACACACCCTAAAATTCACCAGGAGTAATGTGTACTTTGGGATGTATTAGGTAAAAACTTATCCTCTTTTGACTTTGATATAAACTTTATATTTTTTCAATCTCATTACGCTGAAGGAGTAATATCCACCTGATGATCCTGGCACTGGGTAGGATGAATACTACTGTCTTCCATTTATTGAACTCTCACATTCCATGGTCTTTAAACTCATTGTGTTATTGACATGACCTAACAACTCTATAAAATAAACAGCTGTTTTCCCCTAGTTCATAAGTCTCAAATCTGAGTCTCAGAGATTAGTCAGATGTAGTATACTAAATGATACAACTTCTAAACAGATCATGCCTGATTCAAACTTTATGCATTCAGAACATCCCATGCTTAACCCTGGGATGTTTTATACTGAATTAGATGACAACCTACCAAAGCTTACCAAGAGACACCTAAGTCTTGTGTCTAAGTTGACTTTGGAATTTTGTGGAACCATGTCTAACACACATACCAGTTAATGGCCATGTTTGCAACTGTAATAATCTAACAGCACTTTGGTGACTGTCCCCTTCATTTAGCATGCAAACAGTGAAATATGTATTTTGCAATGAGTTAGTTTGTTTTGTAAGATTTCTTATGATAACTAAAGGAATGGAAGTTGCGAGCTTGTGTTTTCTTTGCAGAGGCCAAAGCAAATACCCAGACATTGGTTTAAAATAATGCTTGCAAGTGAAAACATCCTTTGCTGTTTTGTGATACCCTATTTGTTCCTTATTTTACAAGTGAACTTAAGTGGCACAAAGAAACAGGTGTGGTAAACAACTGAAACTTAAAATTGGTCCAGGTAGATAGCCAATATTAAACATAACAATACTGCTGTGATTCTAGCTGTTATTGTGTATTTGATGGGAAAAAAAAATTTGAAATGGAGTGAGATTTAAAAGTAATTGTCCCTTGAGGGCCAGGCCATTCCTAATGTTTACTTGATTTCCTCTGGGAGCTTTAGTAGAGAAAGAAATGAGAAACAATATCTCAGGGATGGAAGGTCAAGGAAGCTAGTGCAATAACATTTTTATGTTCTTTGCCCTGTTGACTTTTTAAAAGATAAATGTTATTATATCTTTCTACACATGAAAAATATATACACGTTGTACAAAATTTGGAAAATTCATAAAATAAAAAGGTGAGAGAATGAGAATCTCTCATATTTCTGCCCCCAAAAGATAAACATGAGGCCCATTTTAGTGCATGTTTTTTAGTTATACATTTTTTAAAGTCTATGGACCAAAAAAGTATGTTTATATAGCTGTGGCCACACTATAAATTTAATTTGTGTTTCTGAAAAGCACTGTATAAGTGACAGAAAGAATGATCAGCAATCACACTGCTTTAATTTAGTTTAAATAAAAATAGTCCGCATGTCCTGAGAACTACTTTCTTTAAAACCAGGAAATAAAATTACATATATCATGTATCTTAGGAAAAGTTGGAAATTTACCTTGTTGTTATATATCCCTAATATCTTGGAATGTTTTATTTGGCAGCCAACACCCTCGAATGTTCATTAAAGGGAGGGCTAACCAAGGGTTAGGGTAGAAAAACTCAGATCTTTATGATCCGAAAAGAATATCATTAGTTGTATCTTCTAGGCATTGCAAACTCTCTGGAGAGAAAAGAATTAACTGAACTTATTAAAAGCTTTTACAATAGAACTTATAAAACAAATGCCAATAATTAAATACTCACTATATTTTGAAAATCTAATATAGAGGGTTTAAAAATAAATACTGCAATTTTATTAAAATGAAAGTAAGTTATATTGCTAACTACAGCCTCAGAAAGTAATACATGGCAGTTAACTATATGTTAAAAGTATTTAATTGCATATAGGGTTTTTTTTGTTTCAAGACTGTGAAACAATTTTATTATTCAGAATTGGTTGCTTTCAGAGATTGAAGACACAGGAGAAGAATGTACATGTTAATTGTAGAATATTGCATAATAATAATGAAAACTGGGAGTGACAATAATGTCCAATAGGATGATAATGGATAAATACATTACAGTATTCACTTTCAATGGAATATTCAGTAACCATGAAACAGGTACTTGATGAAGCATTTTAATAACATGGATAAACGTTTACATTGTAACATTGTGTTCAAAATATTTTTTAAAATGTATATGGTTTTTTATTTATGCATACAAGAATTAGGGTGTAGGTCAGGGGTGCGAGGGTGGGGAACGAGAGGATTCATCAGAGACAGAGTGGGGAGCAGAACAGGCAGATGGACTGAAATACACTGCTGAGGGGAGCAGCGGGTTGACACAAGAGGTCCGCTGTGCCATGTGGGTCAGCTCCCTGGCCAGGAGTTCAATTCATGCTGCAGTGGCTGGTACTAGCTCCATTAACAGAGACTTAAATCCTGTGGCACCAGGGAGGCACTGTGTTAAAAATATTTTGATGGCTATCTACTGCTTCTGTAGTACATATACAGCTTCACTGACGTAGATGTGATTTTATATATATATATATATGCACACACACACACATATATGCGGTGTGTGTGTGTGTGTGTGTATACACACACAGTGACATCCTTTTTAAGTATTTAATAATTTATTTATTTTATTACAACATTGTATTAAAAGACTGTAGAATATTCCATTTTTCAGATTTCCCATAGTCAATCAAACTATTCTATTCTATTGAACATTTATTTTCCCTTAAAAAAATAAAGCTTTGAGTGGGGCATGGGCAAAAAAGTATAGGGGGTCAAAAAGTGAAAATTTCTACTTGTAAAACAAGTCATGGTGATATAATGTATTGCATAGTGACTGTGTTTAATAAGAATTCTGTATTGTATATATGAAAGTTGCTGAACAAATAAGTTCTCAACACAAGGAAAGTAGTAACTACACAGGGTGATGAATGTTAACTAGATATATTATGGTGATCATTTTGCAATATATACAAATACTGAAACATGCTGTCCACCTGAAATTCATATAACTTATATATCGATTTTATCACAATAAACAATGCTTTCAGAATTATACAAATTTAATGTCTTTTGCTTATTTCTATATCTTAGATTAAAAATATTCCTAAAATTTTTTTTTTCCTTTCAGTTATCAATGTTTTAATTTCCTTCTTCAGTGCCTATAGGATGAAGATATCAACCTAGAGTCAAATTATTTCCAACTAGCGTTGGAAATACTTAGCATGACGGGGCATTCTCCTCCAGCTCCAGCAATCAGAATTTAATGTTTGTCTCATGAATAACTGTTTTCAATGTTTACATGTGTTTCCTAAAAGGTGAGGTTTATATAATCATGCATGCTTCCTCTCTCTATATGTTTTAACCAGAAAACTTCTCTAATGTTCTTTCTCAAATCCATGAACAGTGCACCCATTTCATAAAGTGTTTCAAATGCCTATATATATCAGTGCACCGTCTCTATACTTGACCACCAATGAGGAGTACAAAAGTATCACTATATCAACAACTTGATGCCAGATCTTTAAAGTGATGGTGTTTGAGTCATTCTAAGTAAAGGAGGTCACTTATTCTCTTCTGTGGGTTTTATGGAGGAAATAGCGCCTTTGTGATGCAAAACCATTCCAAGAAGATTTGATGTGTATTTATCTTTAGGTCAATATATGCCAGGACTCCACCTGGCCAAATGGTGTGATAATTCAATACGTCCTAGAACTGGTGAATGGTATTGCTAAGTAAACCCTAAGATGGTCGCAGTAAACGCCTGTGCCTACGGTGAGTCTTACTCTGTCCAGCAGAGCTTGTCCAGAAGTTCCTTCATTGTCATGCGGTCCCACACTTCTGCAAGGGGTGCCTTCCAGGGGGCTTCACTGGGGATCTACATTAAGAGAAGATTCAGATAGGGGAAAAATGTGATTTTTCCATTTGCAGTAACCATTTTGGTAGTATTGAAACTCTAATGTAAAGAAGGAAAATGTTTTCTGAATTCTCATAGTGATGTTTACTGCAAAACCAATGTTGTCTGTGTAGCTTTTCTCGCTGAGATCTATATACTCAATCTAATTTATAATAATACTTTCTGTACAAGTGGAGACAATGCTGTAATTGGTCTGTTTCAAAATATAGATTACTAAACTGCTAATTTAGAGAGAACATTCATAAAATTATCTGTTTAACAAGCATCAAAAGCCACTCTAGGCCCTCCCTGGTGGCGCAGCGGGTTAAAACACAGCACTAAGAAGCTTAAGCCACTTCCTCATGAGTTCGATCCCCGCCTGCCCCGGAGGAGATCCACATGGCGTGGCAAACCTCTCCTGCCCGCCCGCTGCTCCCTCAGCAGTGTACTTCGTCGATCTGCCTGTTCTGCTCCCCACTCTGTCTCTGGTAAAGCCTCTCACCCTCCGCATCTCTGGCCTGTAACCCCGTTCTGTATGAACAAATAAATCAACCCTTTAAAAAAAAAGCCACTCTAAATGGCAGGTATGTTTACTCATGGTTTGCAGGTTTGAGTATGGTGGACCCAGAAGTCTTATTTTGCTGTCTTGAGGATTTTCTAAGTTAAAAATCTCATCTCGGGAAGGCTCGGTGATATATGATCTCTATGATCACTTTGCCCTCTTCAGTAGCATACAACTTAGCGATCTGTGGGATATCCTTCAGAGGTTAGCAACGAGGATACCAATTCATTTCACAAATCCTTACTGAGAATTACTATGTAGTAGACAATTTGCTAGACATTTATGATGTTTCACTTTCTTTCTTTTACAACTTATGAAAAATACAGGTGTAATTAAAGAAGCTTTAGGAAGTATTACCTCTCTTCCCATGTCATCCATTGTTCTCCAAAGGTTGTTATGATCCAGGTAGGCAATTGGATTCCATACAGGTGGTAATGGGCCCCTGTAGCAGTAGGATTTTCCCTGTGAGATGAAAGATATTTTTAAAAGGAAACATTTACTACACTATAAAAGCAGTTATACCTGTCAAATAGGTAAGTGTCAGCAAACAAAAGCATGTTAATGATCAATTTATGATATACACTCTTGTTTTAATTCTTTGTGTTCTCAGAACCCTCTTTAATTCTTCAGCATAAAGGTGTTTATCACAATTCTCAGCTTGATAAATATCTGATGCCACAAAAAACACAAAATATGTGCATAATTAAAGGTCTGCTCTCTAAGGAATATTTGCCTCATATCATATCAGTATGACCTTGTGTGTGTGTATATGTGTGTGTGTGTGTATAATACTTTGAATTAAAATCTAATACTACAGGGCCCTCCCTGGTGGCGCAGCGGGTTGAAGCACTGCACAGAGAAGCTGAAGCCACTTCCGCATGAGTTCGATCCCCGCCTGCCCCGGAGGTGACCACATGGCGCGGCAGACCTCTCCTGAC